GGCATCATGATTTCTTGAGGAGCGCTGCCCGCTCCTCCTTGGCCTTCCTCACTTGTTTCAAGATCGCTGCATCCTTCTGAACCTCGGCGGCGACGTGGTCCAGAAGCGATGGGCACACCATGGCGGCGCCTGTGTCCTTATTGAGGCGTGAGAAGATGGCCGACTCGTCCATGAGGCCGCTGAACGAGACCGAGGGCTTACCAGCATTCTTGTGCTTCTCCGACGATCCGAGGGAGTCCATCCAGTAGACATACTCTGTGAGCTGGGCCTTCCTCATGATGATCTCGACCCCGGCTAAGTTGGACGGGTCGGCCCCGTCGAAGCAAAGGAGCTCCTCGAGGGCCCTGAGCGCCGTCCCGTGGGCCTCGAGGCCCCACTGGTCAGCCTTCAAATTGAACGTCGAGGTGAACCAGCGGTGGTGTGACAAGGGCGTGCTGGAGCGGCGTTCCAACCATTGGGCACACCAGAGAACGGTCCGTGGACCAGGCACCGTCCAGTTGCTCACCACACACTCGGTCATGTCACGGACCGCCTCAGTGTATCCTCGACGAGGTCGAGGGTCAGCATGATGGGCCTGTAGCAACACGCGGGGATCATGCACAGCTTCAAGGGCCTTGAAGACCCCCTCTTCGAGATCCCGGATGTTGCGCACAGCGACGGCACCATGACCAGGAGGGACGAAGACTGCCAAGTCCCCGGAGATCTGAGCATTCGGTGGGAGCTGGACCACGACACCGCGAGCGTTGAAGGACGTGCTCTCGATCGTGACCCACTTGTCCGGCACGGCCGCGGCAGCAGCCCCAGGGGTGGCCGCGGCGGGCGCAGGGCCGGCGGCCATCACAGCACCCGCCACGGCGGGCCCGCCACCGAGGGGAGCAGCGCCAGCCACCGGCCCAGCGGGCACCAGCGCGCCCGCGGCAGCACCTGCACCAGGGCCAGGAGCTGCGAGAGCGCCGGCACCAGGGCCAGCGGGCGGCATGAACTCCGCCAGTGGTTGGAGGCACCCGAGCGGGTCCGGCACGAAGGCCGCACCGGCCGCCGCCGCCTCGGCGGCGAGGATGTCCTGGCACACTTGCTCGGCCGCGACGTTGAAGGCCACCATTTCGGCTGCCGTAGGCTCACGCCGAAAGCGGTGAGTCTGAGCACGGTCCATGCCAGGCGGCACCGCACGCGTGGCAGCGAACCGAACGCCCTGGATGTCCACGCTGGAGCCGTCGTACAGCTCATCGTAGACGTCCCGCTGGGCCGTCGCGATCAGCAGACGGAGAGGCTCAGTCGGTCGAGTCGCCGATGGCCTCAAGCGACCTAGCACTCTCCGCTGGTGCCAGAGCGGCGCGCCGGCGTACTGCACCCACGCCCATGGGAGTAGCTGGAGAGCCGCCATGGTGATGCTCGGCCCGTGCCCCCGCGCTGCGGCCGCGCGACCGCGCACCGAACAGGGCGGGCAGGCAGACCCCGGCGGCCACCCCGAGCAGGCAGCAGCCAAGGAGGGCCGCGCACGCGACGGCCGACCAGAGCGGCCCCAGCCGGGCCACCGGCGGGTCCTCGGCCGCCCCAGGCGGCTCCGCCGGGTACACCGGCGACGGTGCCCCTGGGCAGGCCGGGATGGGCGGGCACGCTGGGCACGCCGCACACGAGCAGGACGGGCAGGCCGGCGCCGCGGGGCACCGATTCAGCCACGCAACCGAAATCTGGGATGCGTAGCCCAAGTATGGGGCCAGCGCGCTAAGCATGGGAGAACGAGGGGCCAGAATGTTTGCTTGAAGCCAGAAGGATTACGAAGCGAGAAGCGGCCTTCACGTGTCACCCTCCAGAGAGCAATAGCATGTGAACAAGCGTCAATGTGTGTATATATATATATACAAAATCATGTTCAGTGGGCGCCAAAGCCTGGTCGTGCCACCGATCGCGCTGCTCACCGCCGCGTTCCTCGCAGCGGTCCGCCTGGCGATCACGGCGCTCGCGAATACCAAGAGCGGTCGCCCTGTCGCTGTGCCCGGCGGCCCAGAAACAGACCGTGGGGCTGCCGCGCAGGCTGGCCTCCGGCCGTGGTCTTCCCTGAGATCCGACGTTTGAAAAAATGCCACAGCACCGGACCCCATCTTTCTTCTTAACTTGTCGAGGCGGATCGATTTGTGAGGGTCCTGGGGCCCGAGTCTGGGCGAAGCAGCCCGTTGCAAAAAAAATACGCTTCCGAGGAACCCCACATACTTATATGATGGCTGGAGAGATGAGAGCTGAAGTGAAGCATGAGAGAATGATGTTGGTGGCCGTTGCCCCGCCGATACCGCTGCGCCCTGGACGACCGTCATGGATAGCGGCCGCGGTGAGAGACCACCCCCTGCGCACCCCCTTATGGTGTCGAGAGTATGTCATGCCTGCTGTGCCCTGGACGACCGTCACGGATAGCGGCCGCGGTGAGAGACCACCCCCTGCGCACCCCCTACGCTGTCGAGAATATGCCATGCCTGCTGTGCCCTGGACGACCGTCACGGATAGCGGCCGCGGTGAGAGACCACCCCTTGCGCACTCCCTACGCTGTCGAGAATCTGCCATGCCTGCTCTGCCCTGGACGACTGTCACGGATAGCGGCCGCGGTTGAGAGACCACCCCCTGCGCACCCCCTTTATGGTGTCGAGAATCTGCCATGCCTGCTGTGCCCTGGACGACCGTCACGGATAGCGGCCGCGGTGAGAGACCACCCCCTGCGCACCCCCTATGGTGTCGAGAATATGCCATGCCTGCTGTGCCCTGGACGACCGTCACGGATAGCGGCCGCGGTAAGAGACCACCCCCTGCGCACCCCCTGGTGTCGAGAATATGCCATGCCTGCTGTGCCCTGGACGACCGTCACGGATAGCGGCCGCGGTGAGAGACCACCCCGCACCCCCTTGTCGAGAATCTGCCATGCCTGCTGTGCCCTGGACGACCGTCACGGATAGCGGCCGCGGTGAGACCACCCCTTGCGCACCCCCTACGCTGTTGAGAATATGCCATGCCTGCTGTGCCCTGGACGACCGTCACGGATAGCGGCCGCGGTGAGAGACCACCCCCTGCGCACCCCCTATGGTGTCGAGAATATGCCATGCCTGCTGGTGTCGAGAATATGCAATGCCTGCTGACGACCGTCACGGATAGCGGCCGCGGTAAGAGACCACCCCTTGCGCACCCCCTACGCTGTCGAGAATATGCCATGCCTGCTGTGCCCTGGACGACCGTCACGGATAGCGGCCGCGGTGAGAGACCACCCCCTGCGCACCCCTGGTGTCGAGAATATGCCATGCCTGCTGTGCCTGGACGACCGTCACGGATAGCGGCCGCGGTGAGAGACCACCCCCTGCGCACCCCCTATGGTGTCGAGAATATGCCATGCCTGCTGTGCCCTGGACGACCGTCACGGATAGCGGCCGCGGTGAGAGACCACCCCCTGCGCACCCCCTATGGTGTCGAGAATATGCCATGCCTGCTGTGCCCTGGACGACTGTCACGGATAGCGGCCGCGGTGAGAGACCACCCCCTGCGCACCCCCTATGGTGTCGAGAATATGCCATGCCTGCTGTGCCCTGGACGACCGTCACGGATAGCGGCCGCGGTGAGAGACCACCCCCTGCGCACCCCCTATGGTGTCGAGAATATGCCATGCCTGCTGTGCCCTGGACGACCGTCACGGATAGCGGCCGCGGTAAGAGACCACCCCTTGCGCACCCCCTACGCTGTCGAGAATATGCCATGCCTGCTGTGCCCTGGACGACCGTCACGGATAGCGGCCGCGGTGAGAGACCACCCCTTGCGCACCCCCTATGGTGTCGAGAATATGCCATGCCTGCTGTGCCCGACCGTCACGGATAGCGGCCGCCGCGCACCCCCTCGAGAATATGCCATGCCTGCTGTGCCCTGGACGACCGTCACGGATAGCGGCCGCGGTGAGAGACCACCCCCTGCGCACCCCCTATGGTGTCGAGAATATGCCATGCCTGCTGTGCCCTGGACGACCGTCACGGATAGCGGCCGCGGTGAGAGACCACCCCTTGCGCACCCCTATGGTGTCGAGAATATGCCATGCCTGCTGTGCCCTGGACGACCGTCACGGATAGCGGCCGCGGTGAGAGACCAGCCCCTACGCACCCCCTACGCTGCTGTGCATGTGCTGTGCTGTGCTGTGCTGTGCTGTGCTGTGCTGTGCTGTGCTGTGCTGTGCTGTGCTGTGCTGTGCTGCGCTGTGTAAGAAGGAGAGAGAGGGGAGGTGAGGAGACGCGGGTGCGCCGCGGCAGGGAAGAAAGCCAGAACCCCACGAAACATGTGGGGAATAAAATGCAGCGCCAGGATCTCAGGGATCCAAGCACTGGCGACCAGGAAGGAAGGTGGTCCTGAATGAGACGGCTGCTGCACCCCATGGCCTTACAGTCATGGCACTGCCAGCAGGAGCGCCAGATGAGGAACGAAGGGGTTTTGCTGGCCACTGCGAGCCTCGGTCGCGAATAGGTTCCCGACCTAGGCCCTAGTCCCAAGGAACGGCCTGAAAATCAAAGCACCTCCTGAACCCAAATCGGGATCCGCCAAAGGGGGGGGCCCTGAGGGGGGTATGAGTTCGATCGGCTGGTGCACCGAACTGCCCAAAACAGATGTCCCCCGCATGCCCCAGCCATCGGCAACCATGGGGGACTGCCGCCGCCTGGGGGCATCTGTTTCGGCCTGCTCGGTGCGCCAGACGACCGGACTGACACACACACACACACACACACACACACCGGGGCACACCACCCCTTAGTGGCGTGCCGACCAAACTGGTCCTAATTGGAGCGCCTTGACTGTACCCCGAGACCACCACTTCTTCATCCTGAACTGTCTGACACTCCTGGTAGAGGGCCACCAGAAATCACAGCCTAAAACTGTCAAAACTCAGGAACCGTTTCCCTCGGGACCCAGTTGCTCCATGGCCAGATGTGCCCAGTTAGTGCCGATCGATCGCGCGGCCGGCCGGCAGACACCGAGCCCAAGGCTCTCGAAGCCGGAGAGCAACGAGCTGGTCCTGCCCAGCGGCCGCGCGACGGTCTCCGGGACGGGCTGCCTGGTGGGCGGGGCCCCAGTGTGGCACGGGCTGATCATCCTCCCCCCGCCCCTCCCCCGAGGGCTGGATGTTACAACACCTTATGGAAAGACCTACTGGTCGAAGGACTATACCTGGGCCAACCCTCTGGCCAACCCTCCTGGCCAACCCCTCCAGCCAACCCTGGCCAGGGGAATTCATTCCAGGAGGCAGGGCACATTACCACCGCCCACGAAAACCATCTCCCAGGATCCCAGCGGGCAGTGGTTACAGATATTTTCGAGCATCACTGGTCGAATCCATATATACATTTTACATATGTATATAGATACACACACACACGCATGAAAATGCAGATCCACACACCTGTACATTCGTCGCCGTGCCTCTGGGCATGGAGCGGGCGTATCCGCATGTCCTTTGCCCAATCACCTGAGCCTCACTCCTCACTCCTGAGGAGTCTCTTTGGGGCCTAGACCCCAAATTCTCAAATCTTCTTAAGCTTCCCGCACTTCCCCTAGGGATCGCCGCGTATTGTCGCGTGACTGTTTCGGGCCCACAGGGCCCGAGGACGGGCCAAGAGGGCTCCCAGGGGCCGTCAAGATGGTCCAAGAGGGCCCCAGTCGCCGAAAACGCCCAAAAGGGCCCCACGACAAGCCAAGAGAGTGCCCAAAAGAGCCCAAGAGGGCCACATGACGGCCCCAGAAGGGGCCCAAAAGAAGGAACACAGACCGACAATCCAAAGATTCCGCCCCAATGAACCCCCAGGAGGCCCCAAGAAGCGCCCACGAGACCCCAAGAGGCCCCCAAGAGGCCCCAAGAGGCCCCCAAGAGACGCCCAAACTGCCTCCGATAGGCTCCCGCTACGCCCACCACGAGATCCGAATGAACATCCAATAAGCTTCATACCCCAAACCCAGCCACGGCGGCGGAATGGGCCGAAGGCCATACTACTTACATCTGTGTACATAAATTTATATACGCGTACGTGCATATATAAGTATATATATATGTATATACACACGTGTATATATATGTATGTGTACAAACATGCATGTCTGTGTTTGTAAATACATACATATATATATATGTATGTATATACATATGTATGTGCATGTATATATATATATATATACATACATACACTTCCATTTATATACACACACTCGAACCACGCGCCTGCTACGCGCGAGCTTAGGCTCTAGTCACGGCAGTATGTAGCCAAAGGATGCCATGACAAGCAGTGCCATCGAAAGCGGATCTCGTTCCAGAGGGTCCTGACGGCCGACCCTCCTGGAGCCTTTGAAATCTCGTACTGTGTTGCCTCCTTCCTGGCGTAACTCCGTCGCAGTGTTTCAATGCAGGAAGGTTCCAGAACTGCCTGGACTAAACCAAGCCGAATCAAACGGCCGCGAACCAGCGCCCCCCCCAAAACGAATCGAACCGAACCGGAATGGTCACAGTAGAGACCCGCACCGAGCCGAACCAAGATCGTTTGTGGACCGAATGGGGCCGAATCAGACCGATACAGACCGAACCGGAACGGCAAATCCACCCCAGGGAGTGGGAACGAAAGCCGAGGCCCAACAGAGAACTGCCCGGACTCCCCCCCTGCTCGTCATCGTTGTCGGCCTCCTCCTCGCCCTTTGTCTTCGTGCTCGCCCTCGTCATCGTTCGCTTTCGTCTCCTCCCTGACCTCTTCTTCCTCCTCCTCCTCCTCCTCCTCCTCCTCCTCCTCGTCCTCCTCCCTCTCGCCCGCCCTTGATGGATTCTGGACCCTGGGTTTTGGTCCCCTGGCTCCGGGGACCCGCGTTGACGCCTGCGGACCCACCTTCGGCCCCTGGAGTCCTCCACGATCCCTGGACCCCTCCTCGGCCCCAAGAGTGCGGCCCCCAAACCCCACGTCTAGGAGCAGGAGCAGGAGGAGCAGGAGGAGCAGGAGGAGGAGGAGGAGGAGGAGGAGGAAGAGGAGGAGGAGGAGGAGGAGGAGGAGAAGGAGGAGGAAGATGAATAGGAAGAGGAGGGCAGGGAAGGAGGAACCGCATCAAAAGAGGAGGTGCAGGAGCAGGAGCAGGAGGAGGAGCAAGAGCAAGAGATGGAGAAGGAGGAGGAGGAGGAGGAGGAGGAGGCGGAGGAGGAGGAGAGGAGAGGAGAGGAGAGGAGGGGGGGGTGGGGGCAGGGGGGAGAGGAGGAGGAGGAGGAGGAGTAGCAGGAGAAGGAGCAGGAGGAGAGGAACAGCAGCAGCACCAGCAGCAACAGCAGCCAGCAGCAGCAGTAGCAGGTGCAGGAGGATCAGGAGACGGAAGAGGCGGAGCAGGAGAAGGAGGAGGCGGAGGAGGAGGAGGAGGAGACGACACGACGAACGCAGAGGAGGAGGAGGCACCCCCACCCCCACCCCCTCCCCCTCGTGCCTATTCCTCCTCCTCCTCTCCTCCTGTTCCTCTTCCTCCTCCTCCCCCTCCGCCTTCTCCTCCGCCTTCTCCTCCTCGTGTTCGTGCTCGTCCTCGTTTTCCTCCTCTTCCTCCTCCTCCTCCTCCTCAACCTCCTCCTCCTCCTCCTCCTCCTCCTCCTCCTCCTCCTCCTCCTCCTCCTCCTCGTGCTCCCCCTCCTCGACCTCATCGTTCCCCTCCTCCTTGCCCTCGTCCTCCTTCTCCTCCCCGTCCGTTGAGCTCTGTGACAGTTCTTTGGCTCGGTTGTGGCACGTCGAGACGCAACCAGCAGCGTCGAGACCGCCCCTGGCGACCGCAAGCGCCCCCGGGCATCTCTTGTGGCCCTAATCGGCCGCGTTGGGGTGCTCGGGGCTCCTCGTTGGCGCCGCTACATCAGTCAGGGTGCCTTCTGGTGCCGTCATGGGGCACGGTTGGGAGCCTCTCGAGCCGCAGCGGGGCAGTCTTGGGGACTTCAAGGGCGATTCCGCACCGTCGAGAAACAGAACAGGCTGGGTGGCCAGAATCCCCGGAGAAACCATGGGAAAAACTAGGATTCGAGCTTCTGGGGGCCCTTGTGAGAAGCCTCTAGGAAGCCTCTTTTGCTGGCGAGGTGGCCTGGGGAGATGTCATGGGGCGATCGTCGGCGTCGCGCCGGCCTGGAAGCGACTCCGGCGGCTCGTGGAGCCTACTTGGGGGCGCTGGCCCTCCCATGCGGAGCCGTCTTGGATCGCGGTTAAAAGCCTCAGGGGCCCGAGCCACATCGGTCTGGGCGTTCTCTTGGGCTGCAATGCACTGTGGGGATGCAAAACAAGCTGGATGAGTGAAACCGTGGAAAAAAAAAACCTGAACAAAAAAAAAGAGAGTAAGGCCTCAGAGGGCCCTCCGGGAAGGTCTTTTGGAAACACGCCGTGTCGACGAAGTCGCTTGGGGGGCTGTCTGCGATCGTCGGCGTCGCGCAGGCCTGAAAGCGACCCTGGCGGCTCGTGGAGCCTACTTGGGGGCGCTGGTCCTCCCATGCGGAGCCGTCTTGGATCACGATTGGGAGCCCCAGGGGCCCGAACCATATCGGTCTGGACGTCCTCCAGGGCTGCCGTGCAGAGTGGGGATGCAAAACAAGCTGGTTGAGCGAAAACGTGGAAAACATTTAGAGAACAAAAAAAAGGAGTAAGGCCTCAGAGAACCCTATGGGGAGGCCTCTCGGAAGCACGACGTGTCGACGAAGTCGCTCGGGGGGCTGCCTCGGGGTGATCGTCGGCGTCGCAGGGATCGTGGAGCGCCCTGGGCCGCTCTGTGACCCTACTGGGGCGCGCCGATCCTCCCATGCGGAGCCATGTGGGGACAGGGTTGGGAGCGTCTGGGGCAAAACCGGGACGGTCTGGGCGTCCTCTGGGGCTGTCGCGCAGCGTTGGGATGCAGAACACGCTGCATGGAGAGAAACGCGGAAAAATTATGGGAAAACCAACTGTGTGAGCTTCGGGGAGCTCTCCTGGAGGCCTCTGGGAGGCCTGTGGGAGACCTGGGGCACCAGGCGGGAGCAGCCCCTGGAGCTCCCTGCAACCTCTTGAGGCTCTGGTGGTTCCGGGAAGGCGAAACCATGTAAAAATACATGGGAAATAAGGCCCCAGGCCTCCCAAGCGCCGCCGAGGTCCCTGGGCGGGACCCCTCTGGCCACGTCCCGCAGGGTTCTGGTGGCTCCGGGTGGCCGAAAACTTTTAAAAACAAAGGGAAGGTAAGGCCCCGGGCCCCCCATGCCCCGCCGAGGTCCCTGGCCCGGACCCCCCGGGCCACGTCCCCCGGGGATCTGGTCGCTCCGGGTGGCCAAAACCTTTTAAAAAATGAAAATTAAGCCCCCTGGGCCCACCATGCCCTGCCGAGGTCCCTGGGCGGGACCCCCCCGGCCACGTCCCCCGGTATGTGCATACATGACTATACACATACACACCTACCTACCTACCTACCTACCTACCTACCTACCTACCTACCTACCTACCTACCTACATGCATGCATACATACATACATACATACATACATACATACATACATACGTGCATACATGCATACATACATACAAACAAACAAACATACAGGCATCCATACATACATACATACATACATACATACATACATACATACATACATACAAACATACATACATACATACATACATACACACATACATACATACATACATACATGCATGCATGCATGCATACCTACATACACACATACATACATACATACATACATACATACATACATGCATGCATACATACATACATACATACATACATACACACATACATACATACATAAATACATATATACATGCATTCATACATGCATACATACATACACACATACACACATACATACACACATGCATGCATACCTACATACATTCATACATTCATACACGTACATACATACATACATGCATACATACACACATACATACACACACGCATACATACATACATACATACATACATACATACATACATACATGCATACATCATTCCATACATACATACATACATACATAAATACATACATACATACATACATACATACATACATACACACCTACATACATACATACATACATACATACATACATACATACATACATACATACATACATACAGACACACACATCCATCCATCCATCCATCCATCCATGCATGCATGCATACATACATACATATCCATATCCATATCCATATCCATATCCATATCCATATCCATAGCCACCGCATTTAGAGGTCCATGAAGATCGGTTCACCAGGCGGTGGATATGCACAAACCCCAGCCTCGGACCTCCCCAGATCTCCACTGACGAGAAACACGCCGGAGGCTTTTTGTATATCAGATTCGGGACATCTTGGAGCAGCTTCCAAATCCTGAGGCGATCGAGAATCGGCACAGAAAGAAAAACTTGCCTTGGGGGAAAGGGTCGAGAGCTCTAGGGGTCGGCGACCCCAACAAATCAAGCCTTCAGAGGTTACTATCTCACTCCTCCTCTCCTCCAGCTCCTCCACCTGCCGCAGAGGAAGAGGAGGGAGGGATCTGAGGAATTGGAGGGAGGAGGGTGCGGAACGAGCCCCCTTCTCCTTCTCCTCCTCCTCCTCCTCCTCCTCGTCCTCCGCCTCCTCCTACTCGACCAACACAGTATCAACACTCACTTCCGGAGATCCGCACGGATTTCTTGGGTCGGCGCTGGACCCCGCCCCCATTGCGCACGAAACGCGCCAGGGGCGGCGCTGGAGACGCCGCACGGAAGGTCCAGCACCGACCCAAGAAATCCGCGCGGACCTCCGAAAATCCATGCCTGTGCTAAATATTGCTCCTCGGCACGTGAAAACGGGGTGAGGGAAATTGGCCGACTCCAGAAACCCTCAATCCAATAATGCTGACCTCTTACGGGAGCGGCAATAAAACTATCGCCAACGCTTATGGAGCACGTCCGTTGTCAAGTGAAGGAAAAAGAAACATAACAACAAAAACGTATAGCGCGCACGTCCGTGTTGAGGTGCGCAAGCTGGGGGTCGGGAGGGAGAGACGCGTACAGCGTGCACGGGCGGAGAGTAAGACGCTGTCGCCCCAGGGGGAGAAGTGCACGCTATACCTCACCTTTGATCGCCGTAGGTCTCCTGCCGCCCCCTTCCACAGGGCCTGCCGCCAGGGGCGAGGTGCGCCCGAGGCGAGGCCCGCTCCTGGAACGCCAAATGTGAAGAGGCGCCACTGTCGTCTTACTGCTGCTGCTGCTGCTGCTGCTGCTGCTGCTGCTGCTGCTGCTGCTGCTGCTCCTCCTCCTCCTCCTCCTCCTCCTCCTCCTCCTCCTCCTCCTCCTCCTCCTCCTCCTCCTCCTCCTCCTCCTCCTCCTCCTCCTCCGCCTCCGCCTCCGCCTCCTCCTCCGCCTCCGCCTCCGCCTCCTCCTCCGCCTCCGCCTCCTCCTCCTCCTCCTCCTCCTCCTCCTCCTCCTCCTCCTCCTCCTCCTCTCCCTCATCCTCCTCCTCGCTATGTGTTCACAGCGTAGCTCCCCAGAGGTTCGGACCCCTGCTCCTGGGCGGCCCAGGGGCACACGGCAATGGCCCACAGGAGCCGAATTACCTGGGGACGTACCAACCCTTTCTACACATGAGGTGACTAGGTACACCCAGGACCACTTCATTCCATACACGTGACTACACCCAGGACCCCTCCAAATAACGTTTCGCCAAAGATCGCTGCACATCACATGTCCCTCATTCAGGTCTCGTCTGGGTGTGCGTGGGACACCACTCCGCTGGCCCTCCCAGGAGCCCACGAAGGTGGCGACGGTTGCGCAGCTCCCAGGTCCCAAGGGACGGTGAGGCCTCTTGTTGGTCCTCGTAGAACGTCACTCCGCTGGGCCTCCCAGGAACCCACGAAAGCGGCAACGGTTACGCAACTCGCAGCCCCCCAGGGGGCCGCGAGGTCTCATCTGGGTGTGCGTGGGACGCCACTCCACTGGCCCTCCCAGGAGCCAACAAGAATGGCAACGGTTACGCAACTCGCAGCCCCCCAGGGAGCCGCGAGATCTCGTCTGGGCGTGCGTGGGACACCGACAGTCGCGCAGATCGTAGTCCCCCAGGGAGCCGCGTGGTCTCGTCTGTGTGTGCGTGGGACACCACTCCGCTGGCCCTCACAGGAGCCCACGAAAGTGGCGAAAGTTGCGCAGATTGCAGCCCCCCAGGCATCGCACGATGATGATGATGATGATGATGATGATGATGATGATGATGATGATGATGATGATGGCGATGATGATGATGCTGCTGCTGCTGATGATGATGATGATGATGATGATGGTGACGATTATGATGATGATGGTGATGATGATGACGATGAAGATGAAGATTACGATGAAGATGAAGATGAAGATGAAGATGACGATGACGATGATGATGATTGTGGTGATGCTGATGACGGTGGTGGTGATGATGATGCAGATGATGATGATGATGATGATGACGATGACGATGATGATGATGATGATGATGATGATGATGATGATGATGATGATGATGATGATGATGATGATGATGATGATGATGATGGTGCTGATCATGATGTTGATGATGATGATGATGATGATGAGGCGATGGTAATAATGACGCTGCTGCTGATGATGATGATGATGCTGATGATGATGATGGCCCCCCACAAGCAAGAAAACGCAGGAGGAGGAAGAGGATGAGGAGGATGGGGGGAGGGAGGAAGGAGGAAGGACGCGACCACACTGCACTATTCAAAACGAGTACCTCAACCACAGGAGGGTTGGGACAAATTCTGAGACACCTCCCGCCGCTTCGTGCTGCTTCACGACTCGAGAGGCGAGACTCAGGAGCCTTGGATCCTATGACGACGACGACGACGGCGGCGGCGGCGGTGGCGGCGACGATGGCGACGGCGACGGTGACGGCGACGGCGACGACGCCGATCGACGGACGGAGGTGGACGACGAAACAACTGCATCTGCATAAACTACTATTGGAGCTCCGCGCGGATTTTTGGGATCTGCGCTCGGGCCCCCCCTGGCGGCGCCTCCGGCGCCGCCCCTGGCGCTCTCCGCTCGTCGGGGAGGGGGTCAGGCGCAGATCCCAGATATCCGCGCGGAGCTCCAGCAGTGTATGCGGTTGCCTCTGTTCGGCCACGCCCAAGAATGACCGCAGGCAAGAGTGACCTCTGGTGCGCGGCAAATGGGGGCGCAAGGTGGCCAAACACAAGCGCGCAAGCAGCCACCAACTCACATCGCGCTCAGCGATCGGGGGGGGGGCCCAGTGAGCCCGCACCAGAGGTCACTCCGGTGGAGGGTCACTCTTACGTGTACAGTGGAGGCCAGTCTTCCACAGGAAACCCAACCCTGAGACCCCAGGACGCCCACTGAGTCTTGGTGTGGGAACTTCCCGCATCCCACAGGATGCCCAGGGCACCCTGGAGGCAAGCAGGGTGCTTCTTGGCATGGGCCTCCACTGCAGCCGACGGGTTCCCTTTCTTCGAGGAGGCCGCCCGCCCGTGCAGCAGCTGGCAGATCAGCGCCAGGGTCGGCGCCAGCGGCAGCAGCGGCGCCGGCGCGAGCGCCCCGTGGCCGCCGCAGAGCCGGTTCAGGCAGCGGGCGGCGTCGGCCGGCGACTGCCCGATCTCGCGCGCGCGCGCTCTGAGCATCGTTGGTCCGATCCCCATCCCCAGCGGCGTGGCCTGGGCCCCGCTGGCCGATGTACCCCCGTAGATAGGGGATATAGGCCGTTCCCCTTCGGGTTTCGAGGAGTGTATCCCCAACTGGGTGGGGAGACTTTGGTGGGGGTCTCGGCGGGGATGGGGATAGGGATGGGGGTCGATTAATCGATGCTGCCGCTCGTGGGGCTGGCGCCCTCGTCTCGGCGGCGAGCGAGGGGGGGGAAGCGAGAAGGGGCGGGCCTGCTCGGGGCTCGGAGATCCCCCGGCCTTCCGAGGAAATCTCGGAGCCTCCGCCGACAAAAAAACGCTGAAGGCCTCCCAGAGACGGCCGGGGAGGGGCTTCTGAGAAGCGGCGCCGCCTTCTGAGAAGGCCTTCTCCTTCTCGTTTCCGCCCCCCTTCGCTCGCCGCCGATCGTCGTGGCCCAGCTCCTCCCCATCCTCGCCCTGCTCCTGCTTCTCCTCCTGCTGGTGCTTCTCCTGCTGCCACTGGTGCTCCTCCCCGTCATCAAAGATGATCAGATCATCGCAACCACCACAGGCCTCACCTGGGGTGCGTCTGACCAGAATCGCTTGGGGACTCCACGAGAAGAAGTCTGGGAGGCACCCTAAGGGCCCGAAGCGTCCAAGAGCTGCGATCCTCACCCTCCGTTTCCTCCTCCTCCTCCTCCTCCTCTTCCTCCTCCTCCTCCTCCTCCTCCTTCTCCTCCTCCTCGTCCTCCTCCTCCTCCTCCTCCTCCTCCTCCTCCTCCTTGAAGCCCCCCATCGCACCCCGAGACGTGTTGGTAGTGCGGGCCCAGCGTTCCGCCTGAGACTCCCTCACCACTTATGAACCTGAAGCTTGAATCCCACCAGCCCTCTGGGCATAGGTGGTTTAGGGAATTTCCTCTTCCACCCCTCCTTCCCCCTCGGGGAGGGGTTTACCCCTCCCCCTACCCCCTCCCCATGGACCTGGACAAGGGGGTTCCGCGAGTCGTCGGAGCGTCCAAAACACTACGGTTTTGGCTCCATTTTGGCATCCTGGGGGGGGACTCTAATCCGTGACCCCCCCTCCTGTGATCGATCGCACCCAAGATGACCCAAAGATGGCCCCCAAGGCTCCCAAGGGTGCCCCAAAAGGTAGGGCCCCAAGAGGTGGCCAGGAAGCCCCAAGAGGCCCCCAGGAGGCCCCCAGGATGCCTCCAAGATTGTTGTTCAAAAGATTTCAAACGATTTCCCAGGATGCCCCCAAGAGGCTCCCACGAGACCTCCAAAAGACCTCCAAGAGGCCCCCCAAGAGGCCCCCCAGAGGCACCCAAGACGCTCGAAGAGGCCTCGGCGACAATGCCAAAATCGCTGATTTTACTGAGGTTTTGGCCACATGTTGGCCTCCTGGGGGGGGGGGCACTGCTTCAGATGACTCCAAGAGCGCCTGGCAGAGCCAAAGATGATCTCCAAGATGGCTCAAGATATCGCAAGATGCCTCGAGATGGCACCCACGATGCTCCAAGAGGCCCCAAGACCGCTCCAAGACGGCTCCAAGTGGCCAAAGAGCTCCCCCAGGAGGCCCCGAAGAGGCCAAAATCCTTTCAACACCTTGGGGAAATCCGTGTTGTTGGCTTTCTCGACGAGGCCTCAAGATGACTCAAAGATGGCCCAAGAGGGCTCCAAGAGCGCTCCCACGGCTCCCAAGAGCGCTTCAAGAGGGCCCCAAGAGGCGTCCACGAGCCCCCAGGAGGGCCCAACAGGCGCCCAACAGGCCCTAGAGGCTCCCAAGAGACCCCCGAGAGGCCCCACGAAGCTCTCCGAGGCACCCACGACGCTGTAAGAGGCGTCCGGGGCCGCCAAGAGGCACCCAAGACGCTCCAAGAAGCCTCCACTGGGAGACCCTTCCTCTGTGTGCTGCCCGCTTCCCTGATCGAGGCAATTCCTCTGGGCATCGTTTCTGGATGGGCTGGTGGGGATTCGCGAAGCGTCAGAAATTTGCAACAGCTTCACGGATGGAAGGCGGTCGTTTCCAAACATGTGGCCTTCACCTGAACAACCGCGAACACTGGTCTTCAACATTGCAAGAGCTTTACTGATGGAGGGCGGTTTCTTTGCAACATGCGGCTATCTCTTAGCAACGCGCACATTCGACCCAAGATTTTACAGCAGCGTCAAGGCCTCTGATGGTTGACGTCCCAGGACAGGTGTTCTGGCAAGATGTAGGCCTGGCAAGGCGCAGCAGTCACGTGTCGCGGCATCAATTTCCCAGGACTGATATGCTGGCATCATTCAGGATCGCTTGGACGCAGCAATAACGCTGATTCCTGGCGTTGAAGTTCAAGGGATGGCCTTTGAGCACGGGTCAGGATTTTCAGTCAGTTGTCTTCAAACGGGGCACTTTCCTCCGTGTAAATAAAACATTGCAGGGACCTGTGGAGAGGGAGCCTGGAGGGAGGGTTCATTTCGAGATCGATTATGAATCTTGGCTTTACACTGGTCCTCCCCCTCAACGCCATCATCACCAGCATCATCAGCGTCACCATCACCATCTCCTCATGCATATCTACATATCCTCATCGTGATCCCATTCCTCTTCCCCCTCCTCTTTTTCACCACCACCACTATGATCATCGTCGTCAACATCATTGTCCCCAATCCTTAAGCACAGCGAGAGGCCCTCTAACGCAGCCCGCTGCGGCGATCCATGAAGACAGAGAGCATCGGGCCCACCATAGTCGCACTTATCCTGACATCAACGCCCTTATCGCCCAACACCCCTCCTCATCCTTATTCTCCATCTCCCCTCCTCCTCCTCCTCCTCCTCCTCCTCCTTCTCCTCCTCCTCCTCCGCCCCCTCCTCCTTTTCCTCCTCCTCCTCCTCATCATCAGCATCATCACCATCACCATCATGAGCATCATCATCATCATCATCATCAGCAGCAGCAGCAGCATCATCATCATCACCATCATCACCGTCATCGTGATCGTCATCGTCATCCTCCTCATCCTCCTCATCATCATCAGCATCAGCATCACCATCACCATCATCATCAGCATCATAATCAGCATCAGCATCAGCATCAGCATCAGCATCAGCATCAGCATCATCGTCATCATCATCATCACCACCACCATCATCATCATCATCAGCAGCATCAGCATCATCATCATCATATCATCATCAACATCATCATCATCATCATCAGCAGCAGCAGCATCATCAGCATCATCATCATCATCCGCCTTCGCTCCCCCTCCTCCTCCTCCTCCTCCTCCTCCTCCTCCTCCTCCTCCCTCTCCTCTTCCTCTACTTCTCCTCCTCTCCTCCTCCTCCTCCTCCTCCTCCTCCTCCTCCCCTCCTCCTCCTCCTCCCCCTCCCCTCCTCCTCCTCCTCCTCCTCCTCCTCCTCCTCCTCCTCCTCCTCCTCCTCCTCCTCCTCCTCCTCCTCCTCCTCCTCCTCCTCCTCCCCCTCGCCCGCCCCACCCTCCGCGCCCCCACCCCCCAGCGCCCACCTCTGCCGGAGGCTCCGCCTTGAGTTCCGCGGCCGCGGGCCTGGCGTCGCGGCGGCGGCGCTGGGGCGCGGCGGCGGTCGTGCCCGGACGGGGGGAGGGCGGCTGTGGCGGGTGCCCGAAGAGGCGGGGCGTACCAGGCGCAGAGCATCTGTGGGCACCACGCAGCTAAGGCCGAAGTGCGAGCGGCTCCCCCCGAGCTCGCCCAATCGCATGCCGCTGAGCGCGTTGGGGCGAGCGAGGGGAAAACTTGGTGCTTGGACCAGGGGGCTCCAGGGGATCATCGTATCCTGCCTTCACGTCGTCCACGTCCTTGTTGTCGTCGGTGTTCTCGTCGTCGTCGTCCTCCTCCTCCTCTTCCTCCTCCTCCTCCTCCTCCTCCTCCTCCTCCTTGTCTTCCTCCTCTTTCGCTCAGTACCGCCTTTCGGCCCCGACGGGGACCGGCCGGCGCCGGGCTCGGCGCAAACAGAACTGTGCACGAGGGGCTTCCGCGGCACAGCCGGCTGGTCCAGTTTGCTGGTCCAGCCTGGGCCGAGGCCCAGCCTCTTGGCTTCCTCGGCCTCGTCTCCCAGAGCCCGTCCCTGCCTGCCCATCTTCTCTACGATTGCCCAATCTTAGTGCTATTCTCTTTACTCTCCAGATCCTGTCCGAGTGGGCCACCTCTTTTCCTAGACCCCTTCTTCCGCATGAAACTTAAAGAGGTTGTGTGTTCACATGCTGTTGCTTCCAATCGGATATTCTCCCGCGTTTCAATGCTTGACGTGGATCTCAAAAAATACATCATTGCGGTGCGATGCAAGCTATGTGGTGCAATCGACCGCTTAAAAGCAGGTGCAGCACACCGCTCAACCAGGGGCCCAAACGGCACCATCAACGACAAAGCCGACAACGGCGTGGCGATGGGGGTGCAAACAGCAGTAGAGAAGCTTTGCGAGGAATGGCAGAGCGATGCATGCGACGTGGTGGACGCTGGGCCGAAAGTGATGTGGAGCGACATCCAGAAAATCGAGCTCCCAACACTTACACCAACAAATCTAGCAAAGACGAACCGTACTTTCAACGAAGGAGCGGGTCCTTTTCATCAACCTGCCTCTTGTATTTCTCTGAGTTGCCATCATTATACTGTTCGTCCTTAAACGTCTGCTCCTGGTCCGCATTCTCTGTGTTAGAGTCCTTCGCACGGTCATGTTACTAAGGTCCTCTATCCACCATGCAATGATCTTCCTCATCCTCCCTCCATCCCCCCCCCCTCCCACCTCCCCCCCTCCTCATCCGCCTCCTCCTCCTCGTCCTACTCCTCCTCGTCATCATCATCATCATCATCATCATCATCATCATCATCATCATCGTCATCATCATCATCATCAGCTTCATCTTCATCTTCATCTTCATCATCGTCATCATGATCTTCATCTTCATCAGCATCAGCATCATCAGCAGCAGTATCATCACCAACATCATCAACGCCCTTATCGTCAGCATCATCATCATCGGTACCACAACCACCACCATCATCATCATAACCATCACAATCAGCATCATCATCCGCATCATTATCAGCATCACCACCATGAACATCATCAGCATCAACATTATCGTTCACACCATCACCACCACCATCATGATCACCATCACCATAATCACCATCATCATAATCATCATCAGCATCATCAGCATCATCATCGTCATCGTCATCGTCATCATCACTGTCATCAACATCATCCTTACCATCATCGTCGTCGTTGTCGTCGCCGATCTCATCCGCATCGTCACAATTACAAACACCATCACCCATAATCAGCGTCATGATCATTCCGTTCCTCTTCCACTTCCTCTTCCGCGACCTGTTCCACCTGACCAGCATTCTCAACATTACCATCATCATTGCCACCGTCATCACCACCATCATGACCATAATCATCACCAACATCGCAATAACTAGAATCGTCATCATCATGAGCTACCGTATCAGCATCACCATTGTCATCATCTTCATCGCCGTCGTCACCATCACCGGCATCGTCATCGTCATCACCATCAGCATCGTCTTCGGCAGCATCCTCATCTTGCTCCTCCCCCCTTTCCCATCCCATCACCCTCTGCGTTGTCCTCTTCCCGCAACCTCACGCTCCCCCGTGGGGTACTCCAGATTTCGTAATAAAAGGGAGGGGCTCTGGACCCTCCAAGACAAGCCATTTCAGACCTCCCCCGTGGGAGAACCCTCCAACACATCGTCCCCAGACCCCCCCAGGCCCTCCAAGATAGCCTGGAAGAGACCCCCCCCCGAAATGAGACCCCCCTCCCTTTATTACGAAATCTGGAGTACCTCTCACGCTCCCCCGCGCATGCGCGTGCGCGTCCGCAGCACCATGCCGAACGCACGCGCCGCGCGCGTCGCTCCAGAGACGGGCCACAGCTGCAGCATGGCACGCCGAGGACGGCACCCTGGGCGGACGCCCTGCCTCCGAGCGTGCACCGGGCGGGCACAGGTCGGCCCTGGGCCAGAAGAGCATCCTTCAGGAGGGGGAGGAGGAGGAGGAGGAGGAGGAGAAGGAGGAGGAGGAGGAGGAACGGGAGGCCCTCCGCCGGCCCAGCCTGAAGGGCATTCGAGGCTGCCCTCCCCCAGGGTGCCCTTCCCCGAACCGGCCTCGATCCGATGTCTCGGTCCGACTGTAGCGTTGAATCGGGCGTGTCCCCCTACAGGAGGAGGTTGGACGCAGAACAAAACATAGTCAGAAAATGCCCAAGACATGCTCAAGAATCGTCAAAACAAAAAACGTCCCCCGATTATTTTCTACTAGTTTTGAAATGTTCCTCCTGTGGAGGGACAGGCCCGACTTAACTGCAGCGCA